ATATTCCTTTGCATACCAGAGACTAGTGAAGTTACAGTCTCACATTGTAGCTATTGCTTTCATTTTCTTTACTTTTAGTTTATGGTACAGTTGCTCCTTGGTATATGTAGGTTCTAGATCTACCAACCAACCTCAAATTAAAAATATTCAGAACTGGATGTGATGTGGTATTTGCCTATAGTTCTAGATACTGGGGAGACTGAGGCAGGAAGATTGCTCAGTCTAAGAGTTGGGAACCAGCTTGGACAACATAACAAGGTCTCCATCCTTTCTCCCTGTTTTGTGGTGCTGAGAATGGAACCCAGGGCCTTCTATATCCTAGGCAAATGCTCTGCCATTGAGCTATACAACCTCAGCCCAAGACCCCATCTCTTAAAAAAAAATTGTGTCAGTACTTTCTTTTTCTCATTAATTTCTAGACAGGATAACTTTTTACTTAGCATTTACATTGTATTAGGAATTATAAGTAATTTAGAGATGATTTAAAATATATGGGAGGCTTTGTATAGGTTCTATGTAAGTATCTGTATACAGCCCTTGAGCGCCTGAGCATTTTGGTGTTTCTGGGGGTCCTGGAACCATACTGAGGGATGATGTACATATCTGCAGGTTAGTCTTAAGCACTGCTTTTAGTAGATCTGCCTGTGCTCCTTTACTGGCCATCAGTGTTCTGCAGTCTAAGGTTTAAATCCAAACTCAGTGGAGATTTGAGACCTTTCATACTCTCACAAATGCCTCTAGTCTTTTCTCCTTATGTATGCCTTTGTCCAAAACATACTGAGTTCTTGCTACTCCCTAATATAATTAAATTTTTTATTCATAATTCAACCCCGTATTTATTGTCTCTTGTGAGCCAAGCTCATTGCTACAAAGTTCAAAGACAAAATCCCTGCTTTTGAGCAAACAGTTCAGTAAATGTTAGGCAGAGCATGATAAAGTCTAAACCATGTGCTGTGTGCACAAAGGGCAGCTTTTAACCTGGTTTGTGAGGGGGAGTCAGGAAGAATGCGTGGGAGCTTCTACTTGAAATTCACCTTTAAAGTCTGGTAGGAATTAACTAAGAGAAAAGGCAAGGAAAGTGTATTTGCAGCAAAGGGAAACAAGGAAAATAGTATAGTACAGAAGCATGGTTCTGGGTGAGATTTTTGAATATTTCAGTGGTAGATCCAGAGTGTAAGTGGCTGGCTGAGCATTGAATGGAGCCCAGCAAGAACCAGGTCAAGAAGTCCTCCATGCCACAGAAATCCAGGCAGGACTTCAAGAAGAGGTGGTAGTGGTTTTTATGTCCCTTTGCTCCTGGCCCAATGTGTGAGATACTTCCCTTTCTCCACTTTCCTCCACCATACCTCCATCTCCTGCTCAGCAGCATCTAAGGATCACAATCAGTGCTGTCCTCCATAAAATATGAATCACCTGGTCAAAAATAATTTTACTCTGCTTTGTGTATCTATAATTCTCCTTCCATTTAGGCTTGGAATCTGAAACCATATATCCACAGTAAAACACAACATTAGTGAGAATTTTTACAAGAAAAGTTATTTATACCATTTTTTTCTCCAATTCACCTTCTTATCATGCCAGATTAATTGGCCTACGACATTGCTTTAAAGGACTTACTTATATAGAATCCTAAAACACTTTTGAGGGATAGAGGGTTCAGTTCATTTGGCACATATTTATTGAGTGTATGTTGGGGGCTAGATATTAAATTCCTTACCTGGCACTCAAGGCTGAACTTGTCCTTTCGCCTTACCAGCCCTTTCTCTGGCTCAGTCAGACTGGTCTGTATCTGCCACTTCCTGAAAATGCTATCTACATTCCTGTTTCTGAATTTTTGTTTCACAGTGTATTTCAAATCTGTTCAGTTCCCTTTTAATTTATTTTAATTCAGCTCTTTCTTCAGAGCCCAGCTCCAGTCTCAGGCCTTCCTCCAAAGCCTCTCAGTTTTTTTTTTTAATTCAATTTTTATTCTTGTCTCCACATTACCACAGCAAGCCAAAATATCTCCTCAACACGTCTTCACTGTCTGTACTCATCTGATACAGTCCAAATTCCTTGACATTGTTTTTAAGTCTTTCTAAGATCTGGCACCATGTCATTCCCAGTCCGATTCACCTTGCCTTTCCCCTTGTCCCCTAAATACCCAAGGCCATTGTTATTTGCCTTCCTTTGCTCATACTTGAGCTATTTTGCTCATGATTGTTCTTCTGAACCCGCTGCCTGCCAAATCTTACCCATTTTCTTTAATAATTTTTTGGTTGTCATCTATTAGTGATATGTGCATTTTGAACAAAAAAACCAGTCTATGTAGGAGAAGCTAAACTTGACTTAAAAATCTCTATATTATAAAAATATATACTTATCAAGTATATAGTATATCTATATTATACACATATATTTATTCATGTTCTTCCTTCCTAGGTGACCAGAATTGAAGCTTGGTGTGTGTTCTTCCATGCCTTTTCCTTTATACACATCCTAATAAGCCTTTAAATCCTACCCTGCCTTTCTTGGGAGGGGTGCTGAAGATCCTTTTAGGAGTTTTAGAAGCAAGACCATTTTCATAATAATACTGACAATCAGGGCTGGGGATTTAGCTCAGCAGTGTAAGCACCTGCCTAGCAAGTGTGAGATTGTGTTTGATCCCAGGTACAAAAAAAAAAAAAAAAAACAAAAAACACTGAGAACCATTTGCCTTTTTTACTGAGTTGACTTTTGCACTGATGGTACAAAAGACATGGGTGAAACTGGCTCCTTAAGCATACCTTTGGCATGGAATAGCATCAAACTGTACTAGTTATTGTGTTCTTCATTGCCACACACTTCCAGGTAATGCTAATTTCACTTATGTTACTTGGTTATGCAGTACAAATACATATCTTTTCTAAATAGAAACTAAGCATGGAAGACTTCTGCTGCATACAGAAGATGATTAACTCAAGAGCACTTCTGTGATTGCCTCAGTTGCAAACTAAATAGACTCCCCTTTCATAGGAACCGCTTTTATGTAAAAGAACCACTGACAAACTATAGTGATTCAGATGTGTCTGACAGTCATTTTCTTGAAAATGAGGAATGCCTGTCATTTTAAGGAAGGTCATTTGTATTTGTTGCCAGTGATAAAATTCCATGCCATGAACAAAACATCAGAAAACTTGTATCTGAAGAAATTTATGAGCATGAATATTTTTACTATTTCATACAAAAATGCATATTTCAAAATAAGAGTATAAAGAAGGCCCAAAAGTAAAAAGTCTGAAGCCCTCTACACATTTTCCTGCAACTTGTTTTTTTATTTAGGATGTCAAAAACACTATTCAGTGTCAGTATCTAACAGTCTTTTCTTTTTTGGTCTTTTTTGAAACAAGATCTCTCTATGCAGTTCAGGATGGCCTTGAGCTTACTTCGTAGCCCAGGCTGGTCTTGAATTTGCAATGATCCTGTCTCAGCCTCCTGAGTGCTGGGATTGCAGACATGTGCCACCTCTCCTGGCTCTTACAGTCTCTTAACAACAGCATGATATTCTATTGTGTGGATAAACCAAATGTATTTGATTGTTCACTTTATTTTTTAGACAGGGTCTTGATGTGTGTAGTTCACACTGACCATAAACTCACTATATAGTACAGGCTGGATTTGAATTAGAAGGGATCCATTTGCCTCAGCCTCCCAAGTGCTGGGATTGTAGCCATGTGTCACCATACCCAGCATTCATTTACTTTTTGATGATCATTTAATTCCAGCTTTTTTTTCCCGCTAATTTAAGTTAATATATAAGCAAACATCCTTTACATATATCTTTGTGTACTGATGCTTTTATATCTGTAATATGTATTCCTAAAAATAGTCTTGTTTTTCGAGTTCCATCTAAATAAAAATAATCTATAACATCTTCTCTGGTTATTTCTCCTCCCTGTGGTTGTTGTTTATATCCGCAATTAACCTCTTGTTCATTTATTGTCTTTGATGTCCCCTTGTTATTGCCCCCCCATTGAATCCAGTGCTTTTACAATGAATTATCTCCCCACACTTTTTTTCTTTCTTTTTTTTTTTTTTTTTGGAGACAGGGCCTTACTATGCAGTTCAGGCTGGGCTTGAACTCACTGTAGGCTAGGCTGGCCACAGACTCAAGTGATCCACCTGCTCAGCCTCCCGAGTGCTGGGGTTGTAGGCATATGCCACATTGTAGGCATATGCCACCTCATTCAGCCTAGCCCTTTTTTAATTTTTAATTTTGAGACAAGATCTCAGTAAGTTATCCAGACAGAGCTCAAATAAATGTTATTTTAAAAACTTTATGCCTGGAGCTGGGGATTTAGCTCAGTGGCATAAACGCCTGCCTTGCAAGAGTGCGGTTGTGAGTTTGATCCCTGGTACCGATAAAAATGAAAAACAAAACAAAACAAAACACTTCATGCCTGTCCTGTCTTGCCAAGTAAGTTATAAAAATAGAAGCTTCACGTTGGACAAGGTAGGCTGTGCCTGTAATTCTAGTACTTGGGAGGCTGAGGCAGGCAGATTGCCGGGAGTTTGAGGCCAGCCTGGACTACATAGAAAGTCTGAGACTAACTTGAACTACACATGAAGATCCTGTCTCAAAAGGAAAAGAAAAAAAACCGCTGCTACTTTTCTTTCTCCTATTCCTCCTCCGCTTCCTTCTCTCTCTCTCTTTTTTTTTTTTTTTTTTTTTTTTTTGAGACAGGATCTTACTGTGTAGCCCAGATTGTTTTGAACCTGCAGCAATCATCCTGGCTCAGTCTCCTTAGTGCTAAAATAAACAGAAACTTCTTGAGGGAAGCAGATTATGTTGTATGATGCATAGTAAGTAAATAATAATGAGAAAGAGACTGAGGGTTGATAATGAGAAAAGATGCCTTAAGAGTTTTTATTTAGTGCAGAGATGGGTGCTGAGGGAAGCTGTGTATATGTATAATTCTTCTCTCATCTTGGAAAATGTTTGAAAATAGGAAAGAACTCCTCAATTTAATATCTCATTTCAGGCAAGTACATCGCCTCAACACAGCGACCTGACGGGACCTGGCGCAAGCAGCGGAGGGTGAAAGAAGGCTATGTGCCCCAAGAGGAGGTCCCAGTGTGCGTGCTTAGGCTTAAGGGGGAGGGTATTGAATGGGGTTCCTACCAAAGAATAGAATGTATACCTGCAGGTTCAGGGTTGCCACTCTTGAGCCCCCAGGAAAAGGAGGGAAGGGGCTGGGATTCAGGGACCACTTGAGGGTTACATGTGACCAGTCTTATTTCATGACATCTTTCCCTCAGAATCTCCAAGTAGCACTCAGAGCTGTAGACTTCTGGGTCTTAGGAACCCGTCTGCAGCCTCTCCTGCAGCACGGAGCAAGGCTAAGGAAGGATCTGAAGGGAGGAAAGAAATTGGGGTGTGATAAGAGTGATTTAGAAGGTTAAGAAAAGATCAAAAGTCAGTGATTGTTGGAAGTTTGTTGATATCTTCTGTTTCCTGCAGGTATGAAAACAAGTATGTGAAGTTTTTCAAAAGTAAACCAGAACTTCCCCCAGGGCTAAGCCTTGAGGCCACTGCTCCTGTCACCCCATCCAGGCCGGAAGGTGGTGAGCCAGGCCTCTCTAAGACAGCCAAGCGCAATCTGAAGCGAAAGGAGAAGAGGCGGCAGCAGCAAGAGAAAGGAGAGGTAGAGGCCTTGAGCAGGACTCTTGATAAGGTGTCCCTGGGAGACACAGCCCAACTCCCCAGTGCTCCGCCGGGCTCCCAGGCAGCCTCCACAACTGCCTGTGACCCGCCTGACTCAGCTGCCACCACTGAGAAAGCCAAGAAGATAAAGAACCTAAAGAAGAAGCTTCGTCAGGTGGAAGAGCTGCAGCAGCGGATCCAGAGTGGGGAAGTCAGCCAGCCGAGCAGAGAGCAGCTGGAGAAGCTCGCAAGGAGAAGGGCGCTGGAAGAGGAGCTAGAGGACTTAGAGCTGGGCCTGTGAGGCTCGCGAGTAGGAACGGACCGTAGAACAAACCGCGGGGCTCTCGGGGCTTCAGGGGATGTGAGCAGCCGCAGTCAGGAGGGACACCCCCTAGCGGCTCACTTTGGCCTCTTGCTCCAGAGATAGCCTCGCTCTCATCCCTTTTCCTCTTTTTCCCAAAGTCTGTATTTTGGACGTTCTCCTTCCCATTCCCAGTGTTCAAAACTCAGTGGCTACCCCAGGTACCTGATTTGCGTGTCTTGTTTAAAAAGAAAATCGGGTGAGTGGGAATCTGGGAGAACAGAGGTGGAGGGTGGAGGAGGCGCTTGGAGTCGTGGTTCCTGTTTAGTGTTTATGAGTTACTTCTTTGTCTACCCCTAAACCCCCCCTTTTTTTTAAAGAACAAAAATAAACTCAAGTAGACAACATGTTTGTCTGATTGTGTCTCTTTCTAGCTTCTAGTAGGTAGATATCTCCCATGCCAAGTTTATTTTTTATTTTTGAGACAAAGTCTTGCTAAGTCAGTAAGTTGACCAGGCAGGGCTCCAATGTGCAATCCTCCTGCCTCAGCCTTCCAGAGTTCTGGGATTGCAGGTATGCATCACCCAACCTGGTTCTCCCACCCTCTTAGTGGTACTGAGGATTGAACTCAGGAGCTTGTACTCAATAGGAAAGTGCTTAGCACTAAGCTATATTCCGCAGTCCAAGAGTCTGTCTGTCTCTCTCCTTTCTCTCCATCTCTCTCCTATCTCTATCTCTGTCCTTTTCTCTTTCCCTCTCCTCCTTCCATCTCTCTGTCTCTTTTTTCTCTTTTCTCATTTTTTGAGACAGGATCTCACTATGTAATCAGGGCTGGCTTGGAATTTTTTTTTTTTTTTTTTGTCTTTTTCCTTTTTATCGGTACCGGGGATCAAACTCACGACTCCCTGCTTGCAAGGCAGGTGCTTATGCCGCTGACCTAAATCCCCAGCCCTGGAATTTAGTTAAATTGCCCAGGCTGGCCTCAAGCTTATATCCTCCTGCCTTACCTACTCAAGAGGCTGAATTATAGGTGTGCAGGCATGTGCCCCAAAGTCCAACTCAAGTCTCTCTTTTTCTTTTTTTTGGTGCCCAGGGTTGAACTCATGATTTCACTCTTGCCAGGCAGGCGCTTATGCTGCTGAGCTAAATCCCTGGCGTCAAGTCTCTCTAAATGCATTAATCCTACTATGAGATCTCCTCTCATGACCTGGTTTAAACCTAAGTATGTCCTCAAGGCATTGCCTCTAAATACCATCATGTTGAGAATTAGGACTTCAATATATGAATTTGGGAGAGGGTAGAATTCAGTCCACAGGTGTCCCATGATATGTTTTTAATTTTTTTTTGTGTAAACTATATACATACATTTAATATTTATGTATTATATAAAATAAGTAATTTGTATATATTTGTAATAAGTTTGGGTTTTTTTGTTTTTGGTACTGGGGATTGAACTCATGGTCTCAAGCTTGTCAGGCAGGCATTTGTGCTACTTAGCTAAACTCCCAGCAAGTTTTTTTTTTTTTTTTTTTTTTTTTTTTTGTGGTACTGGGGCTCGAACTCACGACTAAGTTTGGGTTTTTTTAAGGGGTGGTTTTTTGTTTTGTTTGTGACAGGGTCTCACTATGTAGCCCAGGCTGTCCTTGAACTCTTGGTGATCCTTCTGCCTCAGCCTCCAAGTACTGGAATCAAGGTATATGCACCATGCCTATCTATAATTATAATAATGTTTGAAAATTATTGATTCAGCCAATAATAAGGTAAAGCATCACACATTCTTTCTCTTATCCCTCTATTTGGGATGTGTGAGGTAGAAATTTTAATTACTTTCCTTATGGTAGCTCAGTAAACTAAATTAGGCTAGGCCCTGGCTTTATTTCCTTTTTTTCCCCATGGCTTTACTTTTTACTCCTGGGGCTATATTGCTATTTACTTGACATTTCTCTTCTTGCTTATGATTCCCTTCATATGCGTAAATAGCAAAGATTCTAGGGATCTGAAAGTTATTTTAGGACTGGCTATTTTCAGTTCACAAGCTTGGAGCATGTGTGTTAATTTCTTACTGTCCACAAGGTGGTACTAGGAAGGGGCAATGTTTGCAAGTTTTCCTGAGCTAGATTCCAATTTGTTTTTAAAGTAGCAGATAGATTTTCTGTTCCTTCCAAGGCCCCAAGCATTTTAGGAGAACGTGTTTAGATAGAGCTCTCTTTCTCCCTAAATATAGGAGACAGGTGTGCAGGCATGTGACACATGCCTGGGACCAAGAGGGTCGTTTTGTTTTTGAGACTGGTCTCACTATGTAATTCAGGCTGGCCTTGAATTCACTGTGTAGCCCAAAGGCTGGTTTCAAACTCATGGCAGTCCTTCTGCCTCAGCCTCCAGAGTGGTGGGATTACAGGTGTATACCAACATGCCTGGCCCAGAATTGCTAACTCTTAAGGATGAAGCACCCTTTCCAGGTTCTCATGGAGATTAAAGATGAACTGAAGCAGAAAGGGTGGAAGTTGTACATAGCTGGCTGTGTGTGGGTAATAGAGTTGGCTGAGAGGAAAGACAGGCAAAGTTAAAGGATCTCTCTTTTTTCTGTAGTTTGAATGTGTTCTCTAAAGTTCAGGCCTTGGAAATTTAATACCCAGTCCAACAGAGGTGCTGGGCGTAGTGGGCACACTTGTATCCCAGCACCTGGGAGGCTGAAGCAAGAGGATCTCTGTGAGTTTGAGACCAGCCTGGACTACATGGTGAACTCAAAGCCAGCTTCAACTACACAGGGAGATTGTCTCAAAGAACCAAGTCAAAACAAACAAAAACTCCCCAATGTAACAGTATTGAGAGATGGGACCTTGAAGAGGTAATTAGATCATGAGAGTTCTGCTTTGATGAATGAATGAATGCTGGTATTACAGGTGTGGGTTAGCTCCTAAAGGAGTGGGTTGTTGAGGAAAATAAATTTGTGTCCCCTCTCTTGTTTATTTATTTTTGAGACAGAGTCTCACTATTTAGCCCAGACTAGCTTAAATTTGCAATCCTACCTCCTCCTCCAGAGTATTGGGATCACAATCATGCATGGCTCCTACTGTCTTTTGTGTGTGCTCTCTTGCCTTTCACCATTCCCCATAGATGATATAGTTTGAATGCCCTCACCAGATTTCAACTTCTTGATCTTAGATTTTATTGTTTAAAAAATTTTTTATTAGTACATAATGATTACATTCATTGTAGGGAGTTGGTGCATATACACAACACAACTCAATTCTTTTTTTTTTTTTTTTTTGTCTTTTTCCTTTTTATTGGTACCAGGGATCGAACTCACGACCGCCTGCTTGCAAGGCAGGTGATTATGCCGCTGAGCTAAATCCCCAGGCCCTCATATGATTTTTTTTTTGAGGCAGGATCTAGTTGTGTAAAGAATATTGGTGAAATTTTGATGGGGATCGTACTGATTTTGTAGATCACTTTGCTAATATAACCATTTCTACAGTATTAACTTTGTTAATCTATGAACATGGGAGGTCCACCTTCTAGGGTCTTCCTGAAAATCTCATTTAAGAGAGATTTTACTCCCTTTGTTAGACTGATGCTCAGGTTCTTTTTGTTTTTTGGTACTGGGAATCGAACTCACAACTGCACACTTGCCAGGCAGGTAGGCATTTATGCCACTACGCTAAATCTCAGCCCCGCTCAAGTTCTTTTTACAAGGCTTTTTTTTTTTTTTTTTTTCTTTCTTGTACCGGGGATTGAACTCATGACCATGTGCTTGCAAGGCAGGCACTTATGCTGCTGAGCTAAATCCCCAGCCCCTCAAGTTCTTTTTAAAAAAGCTATTGTGAATTAAGTTTTCTGTCTCACCTAGACCATTATTGGTTGTTGGGAACAGGAGCCAGGGTCCGGCAATGAACGGGTGTGGAAAAACACACATTGAAGCTGAACCTCAACCAGTTCCTTATCCTGCAGTGACCTCAGCCATCTAGACAAAGCATCGCGCTAATATTAACCTGGGAATAGCTTCATAACATAAACAAAGAAGTTTCTCATGGGCCCAAGAACATGTTTACCTCCTTGGCTGCACGAACAAGGAAGTGTCCTGAAGTGGCTTGTACTGTTCTTTGTTTGAAACACTATAAAAACTCTGGAGTCCTTTAATAAATCGCCTTTTGCCTCCTGAGCAATTGGTCTCCTTGCGTCTTCAGTCTCTCGTCTGACTCCTCTGTGCTGGCCGCGGCACCTGGCGCCCAAACGTGGGGCTTGAGCACAAGCATTCGGAACATTCTTCCAGTGGAAGGAGAATCGGGAGTTTCGAGAAGACCGCTGCTAGGAGGACCCAAGTAAGTGAAAACGAAAGTAGCGGGGAGTGGCATATACGCAGGGATTGAGAATGGGTAATTCTCCGTCTTCAGAACGGGAACTTTTCGAACAAGTTATTTCCTCTTTGTTAAAGAGTAGGGGCATTCCCTTAGCTAAACAACAAATTCATCGGTTTGTTGATTTTGTACATCAAGTTTGCCCCTGGTTTCCAGAACAGGGAACGGTTAATGTTGAGACATGGAAGGCAGTAGGAGAAAAGATTATGGATTATTATTGTACTTGGGGTCCTGAGAAGGTTCCTGTGGATGTGTTTCCGATTTGGACTCTAATTAAGGACTGTTTAAGAGGGGACTCTGAGTCTAGTAAATGGGAAAAAAGAACTCGAGAAAGTTTTATACGAAAAACCAAATCCACAGAGAATGTGGTATCCTCCTTATACCCACCCCTGCCCTCTGCTCCGCCACCACTCTACGAGCCGCCCTGTTATGAGCAGCCCAACCTCCCCACGACTGACGAAATAAAAAATAGGCCTGATAACTTACAAGTCAGTAACCCTGATAAAGAAACTGATCCAGATTCAGACGAAGAATTAGGTCCAAAAGAATGGGAAGTTAGGGCATGAGGCCTCCCAATATGAGCATCAACACGAGGCTTTCATGCTTCAAGATCAGGTAAACCCACAATGTAAAGAACCGATGGAGGGCCTAGAAAACTTGATTGAAACATCCAAGGGCTGTCTATGGCAGCTGCTCTAAAGGGGCAAACCTTGCAAGAATGTCTGGCAATACAAAATAGAAAACGCAAAAAACATACCCCTGGCCCTCCAGGAAGTTTTTATAATTGTGGAAAAATGGGACACATTGCTAAACAATGCTCTGATTCTCCAAAAAATGATAATAATGCAAACAATAAGGTTAAAATTGATAAAAATCCAAAAGCCCAGGGTTATGTCCACACTGCAAGAGAGGAAATCACTGGGCTAATGAATGTTATTCTAAAAGAGATAGAGAGGGCAATCTAGTACCCCCCCATCAAAAAAACTCCAAGAGGTGCCAACCCCAGGCCCAACAACAAATCTTCCGGGCAATTCAACCCAGAAACAATC